ACCCAAAAACTTTGAAAATGTAGAAGCTTGAATAATTTAGAGGTACTGTCTTCATCCAAATGTAACAATTAATATTGAGATTCAAACTTACCAAAGACTAGATTAATCATCACATGTCTGCTATTTATATTCCACTCAACCCATTTGCATGTAAGTGCTGACAGAACAGACACTATGTGTTTTTATGTTGTGTTTCCCAGCATCATTTAGCACTTCATATTGGTCATTATGATTGTGCTGTTGTTGTGCTGAGGTCTTAAGTTGACACTTACCATGCCACATTTACAGTTCACCCACATTGCAAACCATAAATATATTACACAGAAATGGCCCTCTTTTGAAGTTTACAACCTGAAAAAATATTTTTTATGTAACAATACAGGGGGAAATAATTTATTCAGAAAAAAAAAGGTCAGGTACAAAAAGCGAACAAATAACCAAATGTACAGCTCATCAGTCACATGAAACCAAACCTAAGCCAAGTCACCTGATGCACTGTGCAAACTGCAAAGTTTGTCTCTCTTGAATCCCACTTCATTAAAAAAAAGAAAAAAAGATTTTGAAATCCATGTTATGCAACATCACCACTGACCCAGAAACATAAAGACTACAGTGCTTCTTCATTGCTATTGTTGTGTCTTACAGTGTGTCTACTACTTGCTAAACACACTGGCTCCAGGAGCCTTAGCAGCAGCAGGCTTATCCAGGGCCGTCTCTGTCCCCGACCTCACGCCGCTGAACACTGATGGAGCCGTTTTGCCCATACGTTCTAGACACAGACAGAGATACAGATATGTATGGTCAGAAAAACGTCATATTTGAATTTTCTCCTACAGGGGATCAATAAAGGAACATCTTATCTTAACCAGGAGACTGCCCATCCTCAACAAGTCATAGAAATTCTACTCAGGTGTTTCTTAAGGAAGTATGTGACCGCCGCAACAGTTTCTGGTCCTGTTTAGGACGCAGGTGGCTCTAGTCCTATTCCCAGCTGAACAATAAGGATTTCCATAAACATTTCCAACTCATGTGATCCTCTTTTATCATTCAGCTGGGAAATATTTTAAAATGTTGTAAAATTATCTCTGAGGTTGGAATTTGTGAACTGCAGACAATCATTGGCTTATTATTTAGATTCTTACCACACACACAAATATAGACAGAAGACATGTGAGTCAACATTTGTGTGGGTGAGTAAAGTTCACAAAAACAAAAAGGTCACAAAAACAAACTGGTGCCTGGCTGTTTCTGCTGCCTAACAATGAGTGGGTGTTGTGCAAATGCAGCAGGTGGATGGTGTTAGCAAGAGCACATTTTTGAAAGCCGCTGCAGATTGCTCAGAATGTGAGCAAAGAGCCAGAAGTTATTAAGAAATTAGAAAATATTATCAAGAATGAACTTCTGCTGCTGAATGGTATTTTGATTGTGTTTGGAATTACAGATTCAATTCAATTCAATTCAATTCAATTCAATTCAATTTAATTTGTATAGCGCTAAATGTAAAATGTGTGTTAGCTCTGTCCGTGTGTGTTTATGTTCTTTAATAGAGAACACATAATAATGTATAAAACAGGAAAAATAAATTCCATACGTATGTTTACAATGACGCAATTCTTCAATAGTGTACATCTGTCCCTGGTGGTCTAGTGGTTA